ATTCCTTGCATAATGCTAAAACATAGTCTTTTTGGCCACAAGGAAACATATCTTGATTTCCCCCCCCCTTCCATGAAAACTATTTCATACATGTTCTAGAGCATAATGTTCATAAATTACAATATTGTGAACCAACATCCATAGACAGAGAAAAAAGAAACACAAACAAGCCTCTTTTGCTCTCCTATGGATATGTACACATTTGGCTTCTCACTTAGTGGTCCTACTCACACCACAGCTGTCATTCCACTGCATTCACCAGACGTTCTGAAGCATCAAGTGTCAGAAAAACCTTCTTAATAGCAGTAGATTCACAAGTGTACAGATCACAGACAGATAGTCTGCATCATCCTTACTGTGTTGTAGATTTGCTCCACACTTAAAAGGGCTTTGATTGAACTTTGTCACATTCTGTATTTAAGTCAAGCAAACATCTTCAGTCTGTTGAATGTCCTTTGAATGTCTCAAAAGTAACAGGTGGATTATGTTGATAAATTCAAAATCTGTGGAGGGAAATTCAGTCTTTCAAATGTAACTGGAATGTCTGAAACATGTATATTTCAGCATAACTAAAAATTATTTAATATTTACAAAAAATGTAAAAGTAAAAAACTGACAATTTCAGTATTGTATTAAAAGAATTTTCAGTATAACATTTGCTAATAGTTCCAAAACAGAATTTCTCTAATAGTCAGTGGAAATTGAGTTTGTATCCATCACAATACAAGTACAAAGTATACTGTTGCTGATCTCCATTCATTTCTTTAGTGTTCTTATTGTAATCACCTATTCTGTGTTGTTACTTCTCTCCTGTGATTCCTGTGCATTTGTAGAGCATGCCAACCCTTGCACTTTGATTGGCTGATTAATCAAAACTGCTAACTAATCAAATCATCACAATTTGCATAATAGAATTATTGTTTTAGATTAATAGAGTTGTGCAACTGGAAAACTCTGAGCTGAGATTGTCTTTTCTAATAATGCCTTATTTCAGTTGGTTCCAGCACCTAGAATGCTCACTATATTTGCTAGCGGCAGCACTGCATCTAATTTTCCACCTTTCCACCTGCAGCCTTGTCCAGTGGAAATAGGAATGGGAATGAGGGGCTGCAAAGTTCACCAAAGAGTCTAAGCATCTTCAAAGCAATTCTTTCCCCCAAATTCACAAGATAAGAATAGTGAAATAATTACTTTCAGAAAAGGCTTGGAATCTGAAAATTCAGATTGTTCTATCTTCTGTATTTCTTTTCAGTTTTCAGCTTGCTGTTTTATTTCTATATGTTAAACATTTCCATAATCCTAAACTGCCTTTGCATGTTTTTTGAAAGATAGTGCAGATGGTATTTTAGTGCCTATAAAATGGAGGAATAGGAATGATTAAGTAGGAAGAGATACAAATGAAGATAAACTGTTTTAATCTCAAAAAGCACAGGCAAGAAATAAAGGGATATTTTGGATTCTTCTTTTTACCGTTTCATGATAAATATGAGTTTGGGGCCTGAAATGTATTTTTTAACAATAGGTAGACAGACTGACAGACAATACACAACCAATTGAAATCATTTTCTATAAACCTGGGGAAGTGCCCACCAAATGGGAATAATTTTTTCCAGACCTTTAAAGAATGATAGACTTTGCATCTTTCCTTAGTGTCAAGTATGTGGATTGTTGGACTTCATAAAGACTAGAAATGAGACGGGAATTGAAGTAATGCCTTTATGTCATAAGGCAGTAATATAGAGCAGTAAAAAAAGTCTTTTCCATCCAAGTCAACTTTCTGAAAATATTTTTCCTGCTCAGTTCCAAAAAAAAAAAAGAGGTTGTTAAATGGAAGGCGGGAGACATAATGTTATCATACAATATGACAATTAAAATGTGTAGCTGTTTATGTTTTTTTTATCTCAGTTTGAGTCCCAGAATCCTTTTTTTCTGCAGTGCCCTTCTCATTTTTGGTCTGAAGACTTACGTTGTAAAATATACGCTCTGTAGCTCAAGGGTGAGCAATTTATAGCTTGCAGACCACACATTGATCATAAGCTTGCTTGTACAATGTGTAGTATTCTTAAATTTGTGAAAATGTCACTGTAAATCAACCAGTTCCTACACACACACACACCAGGATAGTTTACCTAGCCAGAAAACAAATGTTTTATCAGCAGTAGTTAAACAAATCAACCCAGAGAAGATCTATACGACTTTAGAATTACTCTTGACATATATCTTGCTGATTTTTCATACACAGAAAAGAAGTCATGGTATCTATCTATCTATCTATCTATCTATCTATCTATCTATCTATCTATCTATCTATCTATCTATCTATCTATCTATCTATCTATCTATCTATCTATCTATCTATCTGTCTGTCCATCTATCTGTCTGTCCATCTATCTGTCTGTCTTTTATTTATTTATTTATTTATCCATTGATTACACAACTGTATATACTGCCCCATTAGTGCATAACACTATTCTGAGTGGTTAGCAGCATAATAATAAAACATCTAGAATAGAAATCAAAATCAGCCAGAACTGTTCAGCAAGGTGGGAGTTGTATGTCCAGTCATGCTGCCTCCTGAAACAGCCTTATCAATGACTCTTTTCAACTTTTTCTGCTTTATTTTAAAGCTTATTGTACGTGGTTATTACCAGCTGTTGGCAGAAATATTGGCTGATGCTCATTATTCCAAGCTGCTCTTGCTGTGGATGTGTTCCTGTGTAGTTGTGCAATACACTTCTAGTAGAGAGTGTGTCTTGTGTTAGGGATTTGTAAAAGTCTGATTTCAATTTGAGGCTTGATGGGCTTGTCTTGTTCTGTACTTCCTGGACACTTTGTGGGGCAGAGGCAGTTTTTATTGTGCTGTCCTTATGTTGGTAGATCGTTGTGGTTTCATCTGGAAAAAAAAAATTAAGTGAGGAGACTGCTTAGGAAGACACATACAGTACATTTCAATTTCCCAAATGCTGCCTCAACACACTTTAGCCATTGGGAGGGATGTGTCCAAGTTATTCACATAAATTTAAAATATGCCCACATCTGGAGAAGAAAATGAGCAAAAGAAAGGATGGATGTCATCCTATAAGAATAAAACATGGAATAAGAAATGAACTGGGTGTGAGGATTAGAAAGAGAGAGTTATGTAACTTCACCCTTCATAAATACACATCTCTAGTAAGTATCATCTATGTCAGGGGTCAGGGAACTTTTTTATCTTTTACCCCCTCCCCCCAAAATTATATATACCAACATTACCCCACCCCCTCCCAGCACCGCTCCTCTGCTCTCGCCATCCATGGCTGACCCCCCGCCTCTGCACTCGCCCGGGACCTACCCAAGCAGCCAGTCTGCAGCTGCCACACCGCCAGGAAAGCACATCCTTGGTGAGGAGAGGCGGGCACCGCACGGCTGGCAGATCCACCAGCCATGAGCTCAGGTGAGGCAGGGTGGAAAGGGGGTCTCCTTGCTAGCGCTCGCTCTCCCCATGATGGAATGCCCACCTACACACAGTATCATTGGAAATAAAATGGCTTGGGGTAATGAGGAGGGTCGCGCTGCCACAACCGTCCTCATTTCCCCCAGGATTTTCATTTTTTATCCCATTTGGGGTAATTTACCCCTGACCAAGGGACATGGTGGCGCTGCGGGCTAAACCACAGAAGCCTGTGCTGCAGGGTCAGAAGACCAAGCAGTCGTAAGATCGAATCCACACAACGGAGTGAGCGCCCGTTGCTTGTCCCAGCTCCTGCCAACCTAGCGGTTCGAAAGCATGCAAATGCGAGTAGATCAGTAGGGACCACCTCGGTGGGAAGGTAACAGCATTCCATGTCTAAGTCACACTGGCCATGTGACCACAGAAGATTGTCTTTGGACAAACGCTGGCTCCATGGCTTGGAAATGGGGATGAGCACCGCCCCCTAGAGTCGAACACAACTGGACAAAAATTGTCAAGGGGAACCTTTACCTTTACCTTACCCCTGACCACTGATCTACGTCTATGTACTAGAGTTATTTCTTTCCCCAATTTATTCATTCGTGGCAAGCCCTTCCCCAAAATGTTCAAATACTTTTCTGTCATCTGTCCAGAAATATTTTAAAATGAGTTTGAGGTTTCTGTTGTAGAAGAGTAGTCTGCTCCTGGTAAAGAAAATGCACACGGGTTTCCAAGTTGGGGGGGGGGGAAGTACACACAAAGTCTCACAGCTTGCCATGAAGCAAGGACAAGAAGAAATTATATATCTAGGATTTAGAGAAGTACAACAAAATGAAAACCCGACGATTTTCATATTCCTGGTGTTTGATCGAAGAGCCAATGTGTGAGGGGGAGTGAGTAGAAAGTTGTGCTAGGATTCATGGTACCTGGGTTCAAATCACAACTTGGCCATGGAAAGTTATGGGGTGAGTAAAAGTAAACCTTAGGCATATTGATTATCATATTAGAGTCACTATAAGTTGGAAGTCATTTGACAACATATAACAGCAAAGCATCTGATACAAGCACACATTTTTTCCCTCACTAGCTTCCTCGCATCAGCACATTGTGGTAAATTCCAAAAAAGGCCATTGGTGAACAAAAGTGAAGGAGATGCTGAAAGGCAACCTTTCAAAACAGCTGCAACATGGTGGATAACACAGAACATATGATGGCTTTCTACATTAAAAGCAGTCTTTTTTAAAAAAATGTTTATTTTATTTTCTTCAGAAGTAAGCTGTGAATGTGTTTAGCACTATTATCTTTTTACTGTATTTAAATTGTATTCATACTGTATTTAAAATGCCGCCCAGAGACCTTTGGGTAGTGTGGGTGGCATATAAGTTAAATTAATCATCATCATCATCACCACTAGAATCCATCCATCAAGTAGATGGCCATGGTGCTTGTTTGTCCTGACTGACACCCCCTCTCCCCCTTACACGTGGTGCTCTGTGCCTTTTCTGGCACAATGTCATTACAGACTGTTCTGTAAGTGCTGAATCTAATAAGACTGTTTCTTTTATTTTAGCAACAAGAACAAGATCCCACAAATCTTTACATCTCAAACTTGCCCATTTCCATGGATGAGCAGGAGCTGGAGAATATGCTGAAACCCTTTGGACATGTCATCTCCACCAGAATATTAAGAGATGCTAATGGCGTCAGTAGAGGAGTCGGCTTTGCCAGGTGAAAACCTTGTTCTTTCTGCCTTGTATATTGGGCTTCTTCCTCTTTCTGTTATATAACCTGAAGCTTTTGCAATAGTTATCTTGTCTATTGCAGTTATGGAATATGCAGAGCATTTAAGGATAAGAAAGCTTCCTTAGATTGCATGGATGTATCATTTTATAAAGTGTGAAAGAAACACTGCTTGAAAACGTAGCCTATTTTATTCTATTTTATTTATCACAATGAGGGTAAAAGCAGGCGTAATCAGTTAGCAACTCACTTTCGATTGTAATAGTAAAATGTGGCATTCTGTCTAAAGGCATGTACATTTATGCTATTTGTGTTTCTTAATTTGGCACTCGGAAGGGCAGGAGTGAAAAATTATAAAATACCAAGGATACACATTTGACTCCATAAAAAACATGGAACTCTGTGTCAAGACTTTGAGTAAAAATGCATAGAGTACTGGCATTGCATTTGCACTTCCTCCAAAAGAAGGAAAATTATCCAACCCTGCTATCAGTATCACCAATTTTATTTCAGAAGCCAACATACTTAAGTTAAAAGTTGTTTTTACATACATGTCTACATTGTAATGTTTCTTATACCACCACTACTGTAACAGTAACAACAATAGTAACTCTTATTGATAGGGAAGCACAAAAGGGCTAGTCAGTCTTATGTGTAGAAATGGAATAAAAAAAAACCCAAATAACAGTTCTCTCCCATCTTTCTGTTGACCTAGTTGTAATATAAACAATACGTGCTAGAGCCTGAAATACAGCTCTAGCAGCATGTGGAAGAATAGCTGTAGATTAGGAATGTAATGAATACCTTACTATTTTTTTCAGTCTGGGCAATTTTTAACATTTTGCCCTTGCAGAGATTGGAAAAATTCCCAGAACAGGAGAGGGAAATGCTGAATTTGTTGTTGTTTGTTTGCAGTTTTTGTTGATGCTGCTGCTGTTTCTCTTTTGAACCAATTTCTTGCGCAACATGGTCTTGCACTACCTGTGCCTGAAGTATTGTCCTCTGCAAGATGTTTCTGCCTTTTTTCTTGTCAAGTTTCAAATGGCTGTTTTAGTCAGCCTCGCAATGGATGGTACTCAACATTATGAAACTGAGGAGTAAAAGGGCTTGAAAGTAGCAAAGAGAGACAAGAATCTTGTTGAGGGATAATACTTTAAGTACAGGGCTATCAAACTTGATCTTGGTCAGGAAATCCATGAGAAGGGCAAAAATGCTTCTGTTCGAGGCCCAAAAGGGAGGGCAGACAGATGACAATCATGAAATTATAATACTGTGTGATGTAATAATACAGGATAAGTCAGAGGGCAAAGATCCATGATTGTTACCTGTATGAGTTTGCAAATAAGGCTCATCCCACCCTTCAGTGTTTGCTATTCTGTTCTTAACAGCCAAGTAATTGTCCACCATGAGCAACTCTCAGACGCAACCTAATTAACATTCAGTGTTTGCTTGCATAGCAGTGATAGGATTTAACTAGGGCTGATAAAGAGTCCTTCATGGAATGGTATATGTTCCTGTGCAGTATCTAAGGATTGGTGTGCAAGATTTCACAGAAAAAAACTACAGTGGTGCCTCACTTGATTGCCTCATTAAACAATGGAACCGCTTGATAATGAAGTTTTTGTGATTGCTTCTGCGATCGCATAACGATGTTCCTATGGGGAAAATTCGCTTAAACGGAACCGCTTGACGATGAAGTTTTGCGATTGCTTTTGCGATCGCAAAACGATGTTCCTATGGGGAAAATTCGCTTAATGATGATCGGCCCCCTGCTTCAGGAACTGATTTTTTGTTAAACGACAATTTAGAAACAGCTGAATGGCCACCCGCTGTGCAAAATGGCTCCCCACTGTGTTTTCAGGACAGATTCCCCACTTTACAGGCAGCGAAAATGGCCACCCCTATGGAGGATCTTCACTGGACGGTGAGTTTTCAGCCCATTGGAACACATTGAATTGGTTTCAATGCATTTCAGTTGGCTTTTTCGTTTAGCAAGATGACATTTTCGTAAGACAGCGATTTTCACGGAATGAATTAACATCGTTTTGTGAGGCACCACTGTAAGGGCATTTTGATGGCCGTGAGATACCCCCAGGGCAGAAAGAAAAAGAATCAGTTCCATAGAAAGTAGTGGAACCAAGAAGAATCTAAACTTACAACTTTACAATAAGCTAAAGTCTTCAGTACACACATGAAATTCAAATGAGTATCATCCCAGTCTTCAGTGTTTGTTATTCTGTTCTTAAGGGCCAGGTAATGGCCATATTGACCATATTGGACATATTCTTACACACTCAAACTTAATGCTGAATAAATATATACAGTGGCACCTCGCAAGACGATTACTCCTCAAAACGACAAAGCCATATTTATTTATTTTATTTATTTATTTGATTTTTACCCCGCCCTTCTAGACCATGTCTACTCGGGGCAGCTTACAAATGTTTGACAATATGATGACAATGTTTTGCAACTGCCATTTTGCTTTGCAAAACAGTGATTTCTATGGGGGAATTTCGCTGGACGATGATTTGGTCCGTGCTTCACGGACCGTTTATTCGCAAGACGACGATTTAAAACAGCTGATTGGCGGCTTGATCTTCGCAAAACATGTGTTTTTGGGCCCGTTTTTTGCAAGACAGCGATTTAAAACAGCTGATCGGCACTCGCAAAATGGCTGCCCTATGGGCGATCTTCGCAAAACGATGAGGTATTTTCCTCATTGGAACGCATTAAACGGGTTTCAATGCATTCCAATGGGGAAATGGTTTTCACATGACAATGATTTCGCTAAACAGCCATTTTCATGGAATGGATTATCATCATCATGTGGGGCACCGCTGTACTGTATTTTTTGCTCCATAAGACACACCTGACGATAAGACGCACTTAATTTTAAGAGGATAAAAAGAATTTTTTTTTCATATTCTCTGCTCGAGGGCTTCCCAGAAGCATTTGCTGGATTCTTTCCCCCCGAGACTCCACTGAATTTGTCCAACTGTTCTCGAGCATCTGGCCGTGACTCCGGCTTTAGACCTTTGAGAAGGCAGCAGCTTGGCTCCCCCACTGGCTCCCGCCAGACTCAGGTGTTCAGCTGTGGCTGGTTTGCTCTCTGCCGCTGGTGGGAGGTTTTTCTTTATGGCCTCTGTGAATGGGAGGATCAATTACATAAACTGCTTTTTTGCCCAGCCCATCCATCCCCCTTCTATGCGGGTCTCCAACCTTGGAGCCTTGAACAAATAAACACTCCCGTTCAGGCCTGGCCATCCTTGGCCCTGAATTTCCTGTTCTTTCTCTCTCCCATGGTGGGTTTTCCTAGAATCTGCTTTGTTTTCAAATACTTCCGGTCATGGAGTGGGAAGAGCTTTTCCCTCCTGTGGCTGGATTGATTTTTCCAGGGCGCCTTCAGCTGATTTAGTGCCAGCCCCCGAGATCACTCTTTTCTCACAGACCCAGGCTCTTTAGCCGGGGAGTCTGCCGATCCGCTTCTCTTCGCTCCTGGGGGGGGGCTTTGTGAACTCCCAGTGATGGAGAGCAAAGGACTCCCCGGCGTCCGTTTTCCTCCGGGCCCTGTTTACGTGGCAGGTTGGCTATTCTGGGGAAAGCCCAGAGGCCTGGCAAATAGCCAGAGCCTGGGGAGCGCGTGAGAGTTGATGGGCTGGGGAGGGGGGAGAGAAAGGGAGCCACTGTGCAGCATGCACCTCAAGCAGCTTGGGTTGGGGTCAGGAGGGTTACAGTATTTGCTCCATAAGACACACACACACTTTCTCCCCCACTCTTTTTTGGGGGAAAGTGTGTCATGGAGTGAAAAATACGGTATATGGTTTGTGCATTAGTAAAATGACTGATTTTCATTTATTTTAAGTAATCTCAGGGAACATCAAGGTTAATAAGAAAGCTGATTGGGGGGGGGAATACCACTGAGAGAGTGAGGGGGTGGATGCATTTCACCTTTGCCTTTATGACTTGAATTAGCACTGATCTGATATGACAACAGAATTTTGTTGGCCTGAGTTCAAATGGAATGAATATGTACTTCCAATCTTCCCTTCTAGGTTCAGGTCTATGTACCCTTTCACACCATGTGAAAGCTATGATTAGTATACACAGATTATACAATAGTAAGTTCCTGTAGATTTCAGAATGTGTTTCTTTTACATTGTGGATCATGCAGGAAGGATAATGGCTGTTTTGCCAGCCCACACAGCATAAAAGGAGCGGAGCTTCTTTGCCCCCTCCTCCTGGGCTGAGGTGAGATGGGAATCTTGCAAGTTACCATCCCAGGGGATGGGCTTAGGGAGCGCAATTATATAGCCACCCTTTTGGGGGCCAGATAGGAAATTTTTTCTTGTTACCCAAATTGGCATCTGGCTGGCAGGGTTTTTTTGCCTACCCCACAGTATAGGTTTGTTGTTGTTTTTAGTTAATGGTTCATTTCTTGGTCACACTGGTGGGTAGTGTGGAAAGTACAAGGATCGGTGAGTTCCTAGGGAGTACGAGGGAGGTGGTAGCCTGTCTGATCTCACGGTGCTGCAAATTGTAAGGTGTTTTGCATGATTTTGTTATCAACAAAGTAAAAAAAAAATCTCCATATGACAAGGAAGATCTGATGAGCAAGTAAAATGATTTCATGCATTCCCATATAAAGCAACATATCCTAGTTCACCACAAGTCAGATGAGTTTTCCCTGTGCTAATAAGGTGACACAAGTTAATAGGCATTTCAATTTCACCTTTTGTCCTTGGTACAAAAGAACACTGCTCTCAAGGAAGTGTTAAAATAGCAGTGTCTGCATTCAAATGGCAAAACAAATGGAAGACAGTGAGCCACTACTACATCTTCTTAGCGGATTCATTAAGTTTGCCTCATTATTAATTTGCCAAAGGGGAGGCATATCTGGAACATTAGTTTACATTTTGAAGGCTTCGGTTTATGGCATGAATACATGTAGCAAAGACTGGAGAAGGAAAGAAGGACATGGTAAGGTG